AAATCGTGGGAGGTTCCGAACCTTTGGTTCGTAATCTCCTCCGTACTCGGAAGCAGTCTTTTGGATATTCCGATTTAAATAATAACCCTCCGTACCAAAAGGAGTTTGAGTTTGAACCCTGTGCACAAAAGGAACCAACCCTCTTGTGTTACCACTAGGATACCACACATTTGGTATCTAAACTGTTGACTTCGAATCTTTTGTTTTATGTGTAGATACGAACGTAACGATTCGGTTTTCACGATGCGGGGATTGATGCATTCGATTCAACGTGACATGGTATTGCTGGAAAATCAGCTTCCTGTGTTCGTTCTCGACCGGTTATTAGAGCTACAGCCCGGTACACAGAACGAAACCGGTTTAGTGGCACAACTAGCAGTCCTATTCTTTGACCCACTAATTCCAAAGGACGAGTGGTTGACCAGAACCGACAAGTTACCGCAAACATATGAAGCTGACCCATTCACGAACATGGAGGAATTGCACTGTCTGGATATTTTTCATAGAAGTTTGCTCCTACCTAAGTTGGATTCAAGGAGAGGTTTGAAAAGTAGAAGTAGATGGAATCGGGGTTCGCGGGTAGTGGACAAGCGCCAACAACAAATGATACATCGCGTCACCGAACTAAGTGAGGCCGGTATAAAGTTCAGGAGAAGGGAAACCGACTAGTTTTGGGATATTAGTTTCAACGATGGGTATCTAGAGATATCAAAACTATTTATCCATGATGGTAAGATACATGTTTTTTCAAACCCATTATTCGTCAAACATACAACCCACCTCTCTCGTGTTTCTTGTAGGTACCAAGTCTCTCTTCCTGAATCTCATAGCTTTTGAGCAGTGCCATATGGACTCAAGCAACGACATAACATCGTACATAGTTTTCGTGGACAATCTAATAGATTCTGCAGAAGACGTTAGTTACTTGCGTTCATGCGGTGTCTTGGAACACTGGTTAGAGAACGACTCTATAGTCGCGGATATGTTCAATCAACTAGGTCAAGGAATCATTTTTAACATCAAAGATAGTTATCCGTTGTCGGTTGACCCTAATGTCTATTATCACCAGCACAATAAGTACTACAGGAAGTGGAATGCTTGGAAGAAGACCTTAAAAGAGAAGTACTTCGATAGTCCCTAGGCATATATCTCTTTCTTTGCTGCACTTATTTTGTTACTTCTCACTGCCTCTCAAACTTATTTTGCTGGTTATGATTATTTTAAGGCAGATTCTTAATCGTCAATACTATATATCGTGTTGTTTTATTGTTCTTTCAATTTGGAATGCTTGATTTTTATAACATTTTGTATTTTCTTCTAAGCAAAATAAAAACATTTTTTTTTGTCATCCAACATTTTATTAATACATAAAATTATACAACTATATATTACATGACCCAAGATATAGTATCAGACTTATTTTTATGTCTTGCTACTTAGCTACACTATCAACACTAGATAAACGTTCTCTGGAAACACACATGAACTTATACCCATAATCCCTAACTAATCTTACAATATCCTTAACAAGTATGGCGATAGAGACATTAGCCGTTTGATTCAACTCTGAACCTCCTTCCTCATAACAAAGAGCTGCATATAGCTCTTTACTATCTCTCACAAAGTTTATATTAGAATAACCAAGAGTTTTCAGACTTTACACTACTTGTAATAGAGATGTGGCTTCAGCTTGCACAACATTTAAGGTCGGATCAATCGCATAACTTCCTTGGAGCAGATGAATGACTTCTCTACTGTATAAGAACCATCCAATGCCTGCTCTTTGATCAGGAGACAACCACGATGCATCCACCAAACAACAATAATGTGAGCTTCTATTCAACATGTCTTCCCGTGATGTAAGCTGCTGATTTGTATTTTTTGGTACTTCTTGTTGATTTTGAGGCTGGGCATTTTGAGTTTCAATCCACAACTGCCTATCAACTATAGCATTGTTAATAACATGAATGATATGCTCTATTTTGTGATTAAACAGAATTGCATTCCTCATTTTTCATATTTTCCATCCCAAGAAAAACATCAGGTTATCCTCAACACATTGTCTAACAATTTGACATTTTGTATCAAGTTGTTCTGTCGTACCTCAACTAGATTTGGTGTATATGTAGAAGCC